CTCAGCCAAAGGCAGTTTTATATATTGATTTTTTTCAGAGATGGTGACTCACAGGCAGAGTACATGCTTTGCATGTAGAAGGTCTTGGATTCATGCCCTGACATCTCTTGTCTATGAGAATCATAGGAAGCAGGTTTTTAGAAAGACCTTTCTCTACACGAGATCCAAGAACAGCCCCCCCAAGTCCAGTCAGAAACTATACCACTGATAGACTGACTTAGTAAACAGCAGCTTGATATACTCATATGATAATCGCCCAATACTAAAACTGAGTCTATACCATCTATCACATAATGCCAGATACCAATACCATTATAGATCAGCGATCATAGGTTGCCAACTGTGGGTTGGGAAATTCCTGGAGATTTGGGGGGTGGAAGCTGTGAAGAGCAGGGAATAGTGACATAGTCCGCCCTCCAGAGCAGCCATTTCCTCCAGGGAAACTGAGTTCTATGTCTGGAGAGGAGTTGAAATTCAGGGAGATCTTCAGGCCCCACCTGGAGGATGGCAGCCTTATAACTGCATATCAAATACGGATATCACATTTTTAAAGCAGAGGAGCTACTTATTCAGCACCCTCTTTGCCAATCAGGCTGTTGTGCCCAATGGACACGGTTGGCATAAGTCAGAGTAAAGGCAGCCCATTCACATTGTCCTGCTAGCTCTAGAAAGAAAGCTGCCAATATTACTAGCAATACATTACATCACAAGAACATAAGAAGAGCCCTGCTGGATCAGACCAGTGGTGCATCTAGTCCAGCACCCTGTCTCACACAGTGGTCAAGCAGTTCCTCCGGAGGGCCAACAACAGGGCAGAGAGGCTGAGGCCTTTCCCTGATGTTGCCTCCTGGCTCTAAGATTCAGAGGTTTAGTGCCTCTGAATGTGGAGGTTTCCATCAGTCACCAGGGCTAGTAGCCACCGATAGACCTGTCCTCTGTGAATCTATCTAATCGCCCTTTAAAGCTGTTTATTCCTGAGGCCATCACTACATCCTCTGGCAGCCAATTCGACATTTTAATCACTCCCTTTGTAAAGAAGTAGTTTTTATATTTTGGTACTGAACTCCATACTTTCTTTCAGTAGCACTGAAACACACGTGCACAGTATGCTTCATTACACAGCTACTTTGTCTTTACATTTGTTAGATCGCCGCTAACAAAGGATCGGAGAGTGATTTCAGCAAGAAGTGATTCACCTTTACTGAAGTAATGAACAAGCACTTAAACGCATTCATAACCAGAACAAGAAACAATTGGGAGCTATGCTCCTTTTAAACATTCCCGGGCTAACATAGCCACACCTATTTACAATAATCAACCAATGAGGTTGTTTGGATAAAGACCAATGAGCTTACTTCCCTCGCAGGGAACAGTGACAGTTCTGATTGGTCGCTGTTATAGAGCGACCAAAAGGAGTTTCGTTCAGAGGAGCCTTTGCTCGGCTCAAGCTTAACATTGGATGTCAATGGAGTGATTCATGTAACACGTTCAATATATTACAACATTGATGGCAGGTTGCAGAAGGAAAAGTTTACCTTATAGCAAAGTATTCAGCCCACAGGAAGAGGAACCCTGGCAGCGGGCCCAGGGTCTCCAAGACGTAGATGTAATGGCCCCCGGACTTTGTGATTCGCGTGCCGAGTTCCGCATAACACAAAGCACCTGAAAGAATTCAGACAGAAAAGCACTTCAGGCAATCATCCCAAGGAGTTTTTCCTGACTGTTACGCTTGAAGGCATTTTGCCCTGGTGATAGAGAAAAGCAGCAGTTTACACATTTATTTCATTTACGTCCCACCTTTCTCCACAATGGGGACCCAGTGTGACTTAAACTGTTCTCCTCTCCTCCATTTTATCCTCACAACAACCCTATGAGGTAGGCTCTATATTCAGAGAGCGTGACTGGCCCAAGGTCACCCAGCGAGCTCCCATGGCAGGGTGGGGGTTTGAACCTGGCTCTCCCAGAGCCTAGTCTGACACCCTAACTCTTACGTCACACTGGCCCTCACTGGTTTAGTGAAAATCCCTCTTGCCTGACAAAAAAAGAAATCACTTCCATTTAACACTTATTGCAAATCCTAAAAAGTAGTGTATAGATCAACAAATTTAGCCCAGGTGCAAATCCCTGCCTGGAGGTGTAGTTCTTGGGGTGACCACACGAGGCTGTTGTGAGGATTTTACTTATTTAGATAGGGCATCTACAGTACTGCTGTTTCTTGGATAGCCGGATCTTGTCACATCTCAGAAGCTAAGCAGGGTTAGCCCTGGCTAGTATTTGGATGGGAGATCTCCAAGGAATACCAGGGTCATGATGCGGAGGCAGGCCATGGCGAACCACCTCTGAATGTCTCTTGCCTTGAAAACCCTATGGGGGCACTGTAAGTCAGCTTTCCACCACCATCTATAGTTCCAGAGGGTACAGAATAGGACAGATCGGCATGACAAGTTGGGACCAAACTTGATGGCTTTTGAAAAACCTGATCAGGAGCCCTTCCCTTGAAGATCAGGGAAGGGCATCCCAGGAGAAAGCGTTTCATTTCCCCTCCGTGCCTCTTTGATTGTGCAAATAGCCCTTCCAAATCTGCAGTTAGCTCTGTAGGTGGGAAATAACAAGGTCAAGGACCTGTATTTGACTCCCCCCCCCCACTGAGATAACGGTGGCTTCAGATGGAATACTGAAATCATGGATTTCTGCATCCCTGCCTAGAGCTTCAAAGCCCAAACCTGGAGCTGCTGAATGATGCACACTGACAACCTGAACATAAACCTGGAGGCTGCGATCAATTCCATGATGCCTCCATATGTACATCCAGAATGGTGCCATATGGCCAATGGTTATTTTACAGCCCTAGCCTGTATTATTTTTAGCTTAAGCTTCAGGCCCGCCGAATGCTTCAGACATCTCATTCAAAGCGAACAATTTGTACAGCCCTTCCATTTAAAGCTGGCTGTGAATTTCAGGTTTCCTGCGAGGCAGATGGGGGATTCGATAAACTTTGAATGAAAAGGATTATTAAAAGAGGCTGGGTGTTTGTGGTACACCTGTAGAACAGAAATTAATCCATCAGTGACTGGGTGCTTGCGGTATACCGGTAGAACTAGAATTAATCTGTCAGTTCCATTTGGCTTGGTTTTTCAGGTACTTTTTTCCCATACAGGTTAATGCTTAAGTAGCCCCCTTTGGAAAGGTGAAGGTGGAAAGGGAGACATTTCTCCAAATCACCTCAGCTTTTAAACAACCAAAATCAATCCTGGTCTTCTGTACCATAAAATGGTTATCTGTCCCAGGCCCAATTCCTTGCCATCGTTATCCATCAGAAGTCCAAAAGGAACACAAATATAGCCTGTAGTATTACAGCTAGACATCTCTTTTACTGCTGCCTGCCTTGACATTTTCAGGCCTCCCAAATATCCCTTTTTTCTGCTCTGGTACAGCTGCCAACAGTGGCAATAGCTAGGATATTTGGGTATACCCTTCAATACTCAGTACTGAACTACACCATGCAGCTGCTGATGTGATCTTGGGTTTATGGATATCAGTGCTTTCACCCTGCAATTGCCATAGAATGACCAATAGAATGACCTCTGGAAGAAGTCACAAGGAGGTTGAGCTGACCAAGGCATGGCCCAAAAGGTGACACATATAAGGTTACAATACAGTGCAATAATACCACTTGCAGCAATTTGTTCCTTCCCAAACCATTGATTTGGGAGAGGTTTCAATTTCAGTTTGACTGTAATACATCAAATAATTAAATTCTTAGTAGGGATATAGTGATTCAAGGAAGCTGCTGATTGGGAATCCTGTGTGTCATGGCCCTCGAGTTGGTATCCCCAAATTTCATCACACAGCATGGGGTTCCTTGTAGGCTGCCTTCTGATAAGATCCTGCTTCAGAGACTGCTGAATTGCAATTGATAATGAAGCTCAAGACAATGCATCCTCCTGGACCAAATCGAGACCAAGGTTTCTCCATGCCTATTAACCCTTCTGCATATCTCACCTAAATCCAATCACACCTGCTATTGTCATTCGGCATCTGAAATCACTCCACTTTCCAATAAATAGGACAGATGGACTCCCATTCTAGCTACTGAACTCTTGCTCTTTTCTACTGCTTTATAATAGTTTACTCATTAACTCACTGTGTCTGTTCAAATTCAAGGCCAAACCAAGGTGGCTGCCATGGAAAGGGAGGCAATACAGTTACATCAGCTTTCTGATTACACATCTGAACATTACAGTCCCTACACCACTAATCTGAGGCAAATTACAGCCTTAGTTTTGTACACCACAGCCTGTCCTTATATCTTTAGTTCTCCATTTTATAGTCAATACAAGCCAAACAACACTTCTGTCTTGCCAGAGACAGTGCGTAAGGCATCAAAGGTCTTATAACAAGGTTCTTGCAGTTTGACCTTGGTCCTTCATTTCTCGGTAATTGCATTCATTTATTCATTTATTTAAAATATTTATTAGCTGCCTATCCTCTTATGGAGCTCAAGGTGGCTAACAATATTAATAAAATACATTAAAAACCATAAAAACAATATTTAACCAAAATTTAATGTTACAACTGGGACTGCTTTAATTAAATGCAGTCCTAAATAAAAGTCTTCAGTGGTCTCCTAAAGATCAAAAGTGAGGGGGCCAGGTGCACTTCCCTGAGGAAATTATTCCATTGTGGGGCTGCCACTGAAAAGACCCTCTCTCGTGTACCCATCAAACGAGTGTCTTTGGTTGGTGAGACAGTCAGGAGGCCCTCTCCCAGTAGTCTTAACTCCCGGGAGGAGATGGTGCTTCAAATACCCTGATCACAAACCATGTAAGGCTTTAAATGTCAAAACCAGCATCTTGAATTGGGTTCATGAGTGCTCAGTGTAATTGCTGTAATAGCTGACCCCAACAAGCTCTCTAGCTACAGTGTTCTGCACTACCTGCACCTTTTGAACACTCTTCAAGGGTGGCTCCAAGAAGAGTGCATTGCAATAATCCAGTCTAGATGTAACTAATGCATGGATCACTGTGGCTAGATCTGACTGAACCAGCATCAGCCGAAGCTGTGCAAAATAACTCTGAAACACCACAGGCACCTGGTTTTCTAAGCTGACAGCGATGTCAAGCAGCACTCCAAAGCTATGGATCTGGCTTTTCAAGGGGAGTATAACCCCATCCAAAACAGGAGATATTTGAAGTCCCTGGTCTGCCTTTTGCTAAACCCAGAGAACCTCTGTCTTATCAGGATTATAAGTTTTACCTCATTCACCCTCATCCAGCTCATTACTGACTCCAAGCACTGGTTGGAGCATCCTTGGAATTAGATGGAAAAGAAAGGTAGAGCTGGGTGACAGCACAGCCCAAACTTCCTGATGACCTCTGCCATGAGGATAAGCATGGGAGGTAAGATCAAATCCTGCAGAACCTCACAGACTATGGGGCAGAGCAGGAATTCCCCCAATACCACTTTCTGAGACCACCTCCCCAGATAGAACTCGAACCACCATAACATGGTGCCCCCAGTCACAGTGCCAAGAATTTGCCAGAGAGAGGATCTGCTGACTCACTCTCTGCTACCCTGCGGCGCTAGTACTGCAGGTGGCCAGGGGGAGGTATTACAGCTACCAAAGTCAGTAGGGATCATAATAAAGTTCTGCCTGATCATGCTGACTCTGACATGGCAGCTCTGTCTGAGCAACTGAGAACCCAGGCATAGACCCGGCTGTGCTTGAATTGCCAGTCCAGAGACTTGAGCTCCTGCTTATCTCCAGGCAACCAGCCCTGACAAGTCTGGAAGACAGTGGCTTCCTGCAATTCTGAGTTAACACTGTAGTGTACACTGGGCAGCACAGTAAGGGGCCTCCAAAGAGAATTGGGCTGGTTCTGCATCTGGCGTTTGCTCCACATTTTCTCAGCACTGAGGAAAAGGTGCAGCTCAAAACCACATTCAAAAAGAAGAAGAGGAGGAGGAGGAGATTGGATTTATACTCCACCCTTCACTACCTAAAGGAGTCTCAGAGTGGCTTACAAACTCCTTTCCCTTCCCCTCCCCACAACAGACACCCTGTGAGGAAGGTGGGGCTGAGAGAGCTCTCTGACAGAAACCCCTCTTTTTCAAGGACAGCTGTGCCAGAACTATGGCTTGCCCAAGGCCATCCAGCCAGGTGCAAGTGGAGGCAACACCATACTGACTGCAAAGTTATCCCTGAACTGTCATAAATCTATGCAGAAGGTACTGTAAAATCTGATGATCAAAGAAAGTGAAAGCAGCATGCAATGCAGAGGGGAATTTCTGTTCCAACGTGGGTTTGCTAAAACAACAGAGGGAAAGGCCAATGCAGAATCTCCCTTGGTCTCAAGCTTATTGTAGGTGGAGTTTGGAGGGACACTGCTAGCTGTATCCAGTAGCTCTAACCTGACGGTCTCATTTCCAGCATACAATTGCATTTAGTAAAGAAGAGAAGCCTCCCCTGTGTGTAGGCTTTGTAATGTTTAGGGTTGCCAACTGACTGGAGCAAAAAAAAAAATGCCCTGTCCCTTTGTGGACTGATGGGGATCAGCACAGGCAAAATGAGTAGCACATCTGGAGTTGTGGCTTCCATAAGCTGAAAGGCTATATCTAACACCCCAAAGTGAGAACTCTAGATGAACTTTAAGCCTACACACTGGCTCTTAACTACCTGGCTCATGTGAAGCTGACTTGCTTACTTACAGCTACTGTGCCATTGATACAACTTTCTGTCAGTTTGAGACTAGAGACTTCCATTTCTGTGACAAGCAAAAAAAAAGGCTTTGTGTTGTTGTTTTTTACAGGATTGCTTGTCAGCCACCTCATTCACCATCAGCTAAAAGAAGGAGAGGGAAAAGAAACTCACCACGCACCAAACATAGAAAGGATCCCACAGCCGAACCAGATGACCAAGGAGAGACCCACATTGCCAGAGTTTTTCAGCACCCCTTTGGGGGAAATGAAAATGCCGCTGCCCACCATGCTGCCGATGAGGAGCGAGAAAGCCCTCAGAAGGGTGATTTTTTTCCTCAGAAAGACAGCCTCCTCTTTCTTCTTAGACTTCCCCATGGCGGGTGGGAGTCGATAAGTGCTCAGGTGTCAAATGTTCTTGGGAGTTGAGGTGAGACTTGAGCTATCATAGATGTTCTCCCTGGTCCCCAGTCAACCTGTATTTAAAAAGAGAAATCAGAATATCTGGAGTAATTAGCTTTGGCCCCGGTCACACTGGGGGAAATAGGTGCGGCCAAAGTGCAGCTTTTTTGAGCCACACCAAAAGAGAAGCGTGGCGGCGGGATTGGACAGATCCCCCCAGCTGCCGCGCAGTTCATCCCCAGCACGATCAGATGCCGGGGGGAAGCCACAGACCGCAGAGCAAGGCTAGCCTACTGCGCATGCATGTGCATGTGCAGTTTGGCAGGGCCTCGCATGCTGCAGGAGAGACAAGCGAGCCGGCGATCACACGTCCGCCCCTGCAGTGGATTTTTCAGTAAGTACTAGTGTTTCGTAGGTTTTTTTTTTTTTAAATCCGCATCTTCGGCCAGAAGAGACGGATCGGGGACGGGTGCGTGCCGCTCCCCAGATGTTGTGGTGTGATCGCGCCCGTTTGATGCACTCCCGATCCGTCCCTCTTGCAGATCAAAGCCTCCCGTGTGACCGGGGCCTTTGTAAAATTACTCTGAGGGTTTAATGACATCGTGTTTTTAAACCCTTATTCGTCTCACTGTGCTAATGGGTAGTGGTTGGGTGCCAAACTGTCTCTTCTCCCACCAATCCTCACCCACAATCTGTCCCACAAACTATTTTTCACCTGATTTCTCCCCAGTCAGGCTTAGAGACTCACTGAACGGGTCTCATAGATAGCTAGCTTGTCAGGGATAGTCTTTCAGTTATTGTTTTGCAGCTGCTCTGATGTGGCTCTTGGGAGGGGTGCCAAGAGGGGGCTCGTTCCACACTCTGGTGGCTGGCCATTTCCTTTGTGTTCATGGGGACAACCTTCTCCTGCTACCTTGCTGTGCAGAAAAAGCAGTTGATGGTGCCATTTTATATTTGTTTTTATTTGGAACCGCATAACTTACTGAATATATGGCTTAAATCCTTGGGCTTAATATAGAAAAAGCTGTTCTGGCAAATACCACAAGATGAAATGTGCTCCTTCCAGTCATTCATCTCTTTTCCTTCCTTCTTATGTGTAAAGGCTTCCCACCCCCCAGGTGTGTAGTCTCCATATGTCTTTCCTTGCTTCCCTGACCCTTTTCAAGAATGTGCTCTACTATATTTATAGGATTTATCATGATCTGATCTGATTTATTTATGTCATGCAGGGTGCGTTCAGACGGCTCTTTAGATCCATGCAAGGCACGGGTGCCTCATGGATTTAAATGTCATGTCCAGACATCAACACCTTGGAAACATCATCTTCCGTGAGCATCCCATTTTGCCGCGCCTCGGAGCCATACTAAAAAGATACTAATTTAAATCTGGAGTTTTCAGTTCCAATAGGCCACTCGTGGACTTTCCCCCGTTTGATCGCTTTCCCCCATTTGATCGTTCCAGCGCGCGATTTAACATAATGCCCGTTCGGGATGGTCTGAAGTCATTCCCAATAGTCTGACGTCGGGATGGTCTGATGTCAGACCATCCTGAACGGGCGCCATTTAAAAAATATATTGATTCTGCACATGCGCGGATAAACAAGGCCGCAATATCATGCCTATGCGCATGCACAAAAAGTGTTTTTTTTAAAAAAACTACCGCGCGTGCCTCCTTCAGTGGACGCCGTCTAGACAATCCACAGCGGAAGCAGTGCGTGGTAGGGCGATTCCCCCGGGGGATGTCTGGTCGTGCGAGGATGGATTAAAACGATCGGAATCAAATTTGAGCCGGCATAATGGTGGAATTAGCTGTCCGTCTGAACGCACCCTTATAGTTCACCTTTCTCACTCGGATGCAAGGTGGAGGACACAAAGTGAGTCAATAGAAACAACAGGATGGGGTAGTCAGCAAACAAACACAATAGGATTAGGGTTGCAGAACTAATCAGAAGTCTAAAAACAGAACTGAAGCAAGTGCAAGTCTTAACATGACACATTAAATGATACAAAATTACATTGTAGGATCCTAGTTTCAGTAAGCTGAACACGGTAGCATAGGCCACAGTCCCTAATAAGTTAACTAAATATGTAGGCATCACATACCTTGTGTTACTGTGAGTCATAAAATGTCCACGTAGCAAACAGGGTTGCATTATGAATTTCATGTGCCCCTCCCACCATAATTATATCAATATTAAAATGTATGGGTTGCATTATGAATTTCATGTGCCCCTAAGCATTTCAATTTTTTTCCTGATGTGAGAAAAGATTAAAACATTTTTGTGGGCCCCTAAAAGTACTGTGGGCTCTAGGCACTACTGTGTCTAAAAGTACTGTGCCTACTGTGCCTTATGGATAAGTCGGCCCTGGTAGCCGGCGCCCAGGAGCATTATATGCAATTGTTTCTATCTTTTCATTGGCTTTAAGTGTTAAACCCAGATTTTGGAATCATTAAAAAATTAAACACATTTTTAGATATCATGTCAGTAATTAATTCTCATCAGGGACCACTATGAATAGAGGAGAGGAAAGCCAATATTTCTATCCATCACAATTGAATGAATGTCACAGTTAATAGGATGTATTGCTTTCTCTTACATTCATTCCGTATCTAGACCTCTGCAACATAATCAAGTGAGCCCATTTATCATTTTTAAAATGTTGATTTTGCTGTTCCCTTCATTAACTTGTAATATTGGCTATGATAGCTGCATTCGATACATTGACAGCCATTACTGGGCTACAATCCAGCAGAGAATTAAGCACCTTTAAACTCATGCAATCCATTCTGGACTCGATTGCGACCTTTGCATTTTATTCAGTGGGCAAAAGCTGCTATGATAATAATCAAACAGAAACAACAATCCGTCATCTGATTAATGTGTAGAATAGGAAAAAATGATGAAGATATTGTGAGACTAGCCAATTGAGACTTTCTACTTTCTGACCACAGTAGCAGAGCACATGGTTTGCACACAGAAGGTTCAGTCTCTAGTACCTCCAGTTAAAGAGGCCGCAAATTCAGGGAAAGATCCAGGACTATTTTTGGGCAGGAACGCACAGGAACGGAGTTCCGGCTGGCTCCCAAATTGGCCACGTCCAGCAGGAACTCATTAGCATAATAGGCCACACCCAACAGCAGAAACTCATTAGGATTGGCTACATTGGGGGTGTGTGGCCTAACATGCAAAGGAGTTCCTGCTACAAAAAAAGGCCCTGGGTTTTGACAACAAACAAGGTAAACAGAATAACAAGCAAAAGGTGGGTGTGGCTGGATAACCACACTTCTGGTAACATGGGGGTGCGTCCTAATGTGCTAATGAGCTGTGTTGACAGGGTGTGGCCTAATATGCTAATGGGTTTCTGGTGTTGGGTGTAGCCTATTATGCTAATGAGTTCCTGCTGGGCTTTTTCTACAAAAAGAGCCCTGGAAAGATCTAAGTGCAAAGCCTTGGGAAGTGGAGCCAGGTGGACCAATGAGACAACTTCTTCACACACCTATATGCTATTCTACTGCTGGCTGCTCTCCAATTGTGGATGTGGACAAGGGCTCCCCACACACACCTACACCTGTATGGGGTTCCCAATATATTTCTATGGATGTGGCAGCTCATGCATGCATGCACTATTGCCTTGCCCTTGAAGTGAATAGGGAAAGGTTTTATGTCTGGGGCTCTGAGACCAGCAGGTGACTGGTGGATCAAAGCAAAGGACAGAAAACTGTCTGTACGGAACGAAAGAGAGAGGGATTTCCCCACTGACTGCTTACACCACAGCCCAGTTTGCAGAAGAGAGCACTGAAGTCCTGTGTACATAAACCTTTGTATGCACATATCAACTGCAGTCATGGTTTTTTATCATTCTCACCCAGAAATGTTTAGAAATCAATGGGCAGTGACCCTGTATTTCAAAAATGTGGAATCCGGTGAGATTTCTTCCATAACGCCCTACGGGGAAATGTTACCACTTCCATTTCACCTCTTACCATAGTGATCTTGCTTTTAGCATAGCATATTATATTGGATAGGTAATCCACCTTGGTTTCAAAACTGAATTCCCTTCCATAAAAGATTAAAATGCAGATATGTTAATCCTAATGAGGCTGACTTAATATTCCGCACGCATTGGGTATTAAACACAGTTACAAAGCTGATCCTTGTTTGCTGCTGTTGCTTGTTGGTTCATATCTGTCTTGTTCCTTTACAAAACACACTTTATGCAGATTTACAGCTGTTCTCACCAGCCAGTTTCTGAGCTTGTTAACAGAGCTGAAGAAAAGTGCCAGCTGCCTTATGGTCCAGGAGTAGAGGGTGTAGAGAGAAGAAGCACCAGTTATAAGGCTAAACTAAGTATGCAGCTAGAGATCCATGATCAGAGGTGCAGTTTAGTGTCAAAGCAAAGCTGCAGAGCACTGAGATGTGGGTGAAGGTTGTGACACATGGGAAAGGATGTAGCTTCCCCCCCCCCTTTCCCTTCATCAAAAATGCCACAGATTGCTGTAAACCCTAGTCAGGTAAATAAATATAAGAACACTAAGGACACCTGTCTTTCCTCCCCAGTGAGGGTTAAAGGATGCTGGGATTTTTTATTGGATAAACTGAGCAAGGACAGAGAGTTAACACCCTTTCCCCAGTGCCATGCACCCAGTCCGGATCTCTCTCCCCTCCCCCTGCTATTTATCTGGGGATCTGATCCCAGATCCTTAGCATCACATATTCTGTTGTTTGGCTCTAGATTTGGTGCTGTAGTTTAGTGTAGTGGTTAAGTGTGCAGACTCTAATCTGGGAGAACCGGGTTTGATTCCCTACTCCTCCACTTGCAGCTGCTGGATGACCTTGGGCTGTCAGAACTGTTCTTGAAAGAGCAGTTCTCAAAAGAGCTTGCTCAGCCCCACTTACCTCACAGGATGTTTGCTGTGGGGAGGGGAAGGGAAAGGAGTTTGTAAGCCACTCTGAGACTCCAAGTGAAGGGCGGGGT